CTTTTATTTTTCCTTTTCCCTTTCGTAGTTTCTTGAATTCAGTTCCTTGGAGGATAATAAGCAGTGACAACCTGCTGACAATGAAGGATAAATTAGGAGAGTCTTTATCCAAAACTTAGTTCAGAGCGAAATATTGTCCCCAAGGTTGCACTTAGAGACTGAAGCTCTTTTGAGAATTGATGGCTGTTGACGAGTGTGTCAGTACAAGATTTTAGTTTAGCCATGATGCAATTGCCCTATGTATCTCAATCGGTTTTCATATGATTAATAAATACACAGTACTGGCCTGGCCAAGGGTTTAAAAAAAAAATATATATATATATATACTGTATTTAAATAAATAAAAATATTAAGTATTGAATATTTTTAAATATATTGTCGGCCAATAGATTATAGATATATTAATTCAAAAATAGTTTATTGTTGATTGGAATTTTATATTACATAATCATTATTTTGTGTATCTTTTGTCCTAAGGATTGAATAAATTTTTGAAATCTTAATTTTTATCACAAAACTAGTATACTCGGAAAAAATGTAAAGTAAATCACGTGATCATTTTTATCAATAAAACAAGTTACAAATTTAAGGAACATAATGTATTTGAATAGGATCAAAAATATTAAATCAAAAGTTATAATATAGTAACCAAAAATTTTGTGAGCAACTGTATGCACTATTTATCAGTATGCTTAGATCATAGAGTTCTCTTAAAATATTTGAATTTGATATTGCATAATTGAATTTCATCGAGAAAAATAAATAGTAGTATAAAAAGTTAATATATTGCGCTAACTATATTCTGATTTCCATTGTAGAAATAACATAATACTATGAAAAGATATATATATAATAAAATCATGCCAAGCTCTACAAAACCTTTAAACGCGACATAATTCTTAGTAGTTATGTTGACCATTGAGTTTTTTCTTCTTAAAACGTCGACTATACGAGACCCAACCGGTCATTATTCCTGATAAGAACATGCATAGCATTGCTATACCTGTAACACCAAAAAATATTGCACCAGGTCTTTTCGTTGGCGTTATCATTTTAAGGATAATATTGTCGTCTTTGTCATAAGCAGAGAACTATATTGAGAAAAAATTGTACGTTATATATTTTAAAGTGTAATAATGAAATAATAAGTTAAACTCGTGCTTACATTCCACATGAAATAGGCCATTGCTCCTTGTGCAATAGTGGCTAGGTTCGAGAAGAATAGTGCCAAAAATAGCAATACCAAAGAGTCATGTTCGGGGTCAAACCATTTAATATGTTTTTTAATAGAATTTATTGTTGCCGCTCTCGTGGATTCGTCTCTTTTGAAAAACATAAGGATTAACCGGATAAAAGGAGCTATTGTTGCGCGAAGCGATAAGAGAGCAAGAAGGACAAGTATTGCGGTAACAACTACAAAATAAAATAATTCTGAATGTTAAACAAAGGACAATAATTATACTGGTAAATAAATTGACCCGCTTACTTTGAGTACCAATCTCGATCCCTAAGGCAGTCTCCTTTTTATTTCTTAGGCTGACCCAGTTGAGTGACATAAATAACACGGCATTACCCACAATTAAAAGTATAACTGAAAAGAAAATTTTCATAACGGTCTTTGGATCTCTTATAGATGTTAATATTTTCTCTTTAAATTTAAACATTTTCGATGGAGAATTGTGTGCTGTTTGTTCATTTTCAAAAGTTGGTTCTGGTTCAATTGTAAGATTCGTGTCCTGCGAAGTCATTGTTCAATATTGATAGTTGAGATGTTTTATCGAAATGACAATTTTTTTTAATGAGCTGGCTATTCTTCTTGCCACCTTTTATATTTACTGAACCTATTATTTCGTGGATGTGCATATGTACGCGTCTATTGTTATGTTATATCAGTCGATCGTTACCTGTTGAGGCCTCTCTTAAAGTGAGGTTGATCTTGGTAAGCATGCACTTCATATTTCTATTATAGGCAGAATAACTACGTTTATTTTTAGGGTAACGCGCATGATTATTCGGAGGCAATGAAGCGCCGGTTCAAGTGAAGCCGGTAGTTATACGTAGATAGATCACGTGATGCATATTCACACTAAATACCATTTATTACAAAAATATTTCGTGAATAGATTGTATGTCGTGCACAACACCTCCATTACGATAGTTCAAACTTCTATGGTAACGCTCAAACAGAGAAAAAAAAATTGGCAAAAACAATGTTTAAAATAATCTATTATTATATGTACCTCTTTATTATCGTCCTTGGGTAAAGATTTGATAGAACCAAATTTCTGCATTCATTAGAGTACAACTTGAATGAAGACTTGAATGAAGAAATGCATTATTGACTCTATGCTTAATCGGCGCGAACTCGTCGTCAAAGCTTTCATTGTCCAAAATGATTATATAATAAGAATGAAACTTTTTATATGAATATTGTTTCATTTTTTAAATACGGTACATTTTGCGAGTATGGTCTATTCCGTTAACGATCTCTGATCGTTTATATTATTGCCAAATTAGGATCAAACTACCTAACATAAACGGTTGTGTTACACAACCATTCTCAAGATCTGCGTATATACTGTAATTCAATGTTATATCAATCCTTTAAGCGTAGGGGGGTCTAATATTACGACTTTTATACTTTACCACTACTCTTGTGATAATAACCTCCCGTAACTTTATCACTACATTTGAATATTAAGATTGTATGAAAAGACTTCAGGGCCGACAGCTAAACGAGGAACTTAGATAAATGACATCTTTATGAATATTAGGATTTAAGGACTGCAATCCAAGAAAGGACCGCATTCCCTAAGATTATCATTGTTTTTATAATTCTGACCGGAATTATGCATAATTATAGGACCGATAGTCCTAGAAGTCAAGATCGGACTGAGAATCATCCTTAAAGGATCAGGACCGATTAGTATTCCTAAATCTACATTATTATTATTAATTGATTAAAGAATATTTATTTTATTCTATTTTATATTGGTTTTTAAGTTAAGTATTTATAAGGTCGATTAAAGAAAAATATTATTTCTATTTTATTAATTTAATATTAAAATAAAATAAAATAAAATAAAGGTCAAGAAGAATAATATATACTGTTACTAATATTAAAAAAAATTTTTTAAGTAATAAAAAAATATATATATTGAATAATATAAATATAATTCAATCTATAAATAAAACTATCAATATAATTATTTTTTATTTTTATTTTTTTAATCAAACTAACATAACTTGTTTTTATTATATATTAATAAAAATAATTACAATTTAAATAATTTTCATATATTAACTTATTCATTATTGAAATTTCTTTCTTTAGATACAACTTAAGAAATAATATTTTGCTTTTTTTATAGTTTAAATTATTTTTTAATTATAAAATTCAATGCATATAAATTATTAATATAAATATTTCAAAGTTCTTGTTTTTGAATTAAAAATTTAATTATTTTTTTTCTATTTTATTTATCTTTGATAATGTTTTTCAAATAAATAATATTCTTGAAATATATTTTCTATTCTAGTACTTTTAAATATCAAAATATTTGCTTTTTTAAAATCTTTTATAATACTAAAAATCTTGTTTTTTAAAGTTTTATTTTTCTTATTTTTTATATGATATTTATAGTTTTTTTTATTCAATTATAGTAATAAAACAATTGTTTTAGATTTTTTACCCAAAATTTTTTCATATTTATTGACAAAGTTTCTTAATTACTTTTTTTATAATAATTGATTTTATTTTGTACTAATTTTTGAGATATCCTTAAAAATTTTTAACTTTATTTTTATATAAATAATTATAAATCAATTTATAAAGATTATAATTTTATTATTTAATTTTCTTGAGCTATTTATCAAATTTTTTTAAATAACTTTTTAATTATCTATTATAATTTTTTTTTATTTAACTAAATTTTAAATAATCTTTCACTTATATTCTTTTAAATTTTTGTTTTATTAAAATAGATTACTAAGTATTTAAATACATATTTAGTTATTTGTTTGTAAATTTAATATTTTTGATAAATCTTTATTGAATATATATCAGGGGGTTTTTTTTAAGTATCTGAAATATAAATAATTTACTATATATTAAGTTTACTAAAATACTTTTTTTTTGTAAATTGAATTAACTTCAAATTTTTTACTTTCTACTATTTTTAAATTCTTTTTTATTTAATTTAATTTAATTCTTTTTTAATTTCAGTCTTTGATAAATTTTTTGATATCAATATTAATATATAAATTGTTTTTTTTTTTTTAACCCACAATCATGTCAAAATGGCTTGTCATTATTAAAATACTTGAAAAAATATTAAAATAATCTGCAGATCTTATCACATAATGACTAACTCATCTTTATATATTATTAGTTAAAGAATTACACTATTTAAAAAATATAAGGAGTTCACTAAGCTAATTCAAACTAAACAAAACTAAGTCTTAACTAGATACTTTAAGTTAAATTTAGATAACAATATTACACTCTTCTAGTAGTTTGGTATACTGCTTCTAAGTCAATCAAGATCCTTGCCAACAGTTTGTTATTGTCAATTATCCCGAAAAATGATAAATTACTAAAATTGAATTGGGAAAGATGAAAAAAGAAAAATAATTCAAAGCCCTTCAAAAGATTCTTTTCCATTTCATAGCCTCTTTTCAAAAGGGGTCTTGCTTAATTGAGATATTCTTCTTTGTTTTATTTGGACCTCAAAAAAAGTCTTCTTTGTCACTACCTGTGACATCAGATACAATAAATTTTCATTTAAGCATATACTAGACTGGGATAATCCAAGAGAAACTAAAAGACCTCAGCTTCCACTTTAGGGAGCCTTTTTATCACTTGAAAAACTTAAAAAAGAAATGAAATTTCTTTGAGTGAATCCATCCCATCTTTTGATGTCATAATTGTTTCTTGAAATTGAATATACTCAGTTAAAAAAGAACTTCTTCTAGAACATTCTTTTTTATATTACCCATGATATGATAGAAATATGTGAATATGGAAAGTAACTCTTTCTGCTGATCCTCTGACCACACATAAAAAAGATGTTCACAAGAAGTTTTTATATTTCTTTGCTAATAAAGTCTTAATACTTTCCTTAAAACAACTTAAAGTATGACTTCAAGAGTCGCCTTTACCCTTTTCCTTTTGTTTACATACCTCTTCACTCAAAAACTTGACTTCTAGTGACCAAGAAAAGTCAAGAAACACCTTTGATACCAATGGTAAGAAAGCTCCCAAAGGAAGAAGAACTGACTGTGAAGTACTTGAAGGTCTATCTAACCTTTGAAGCGAGAGATATATAGAGGTTT